TCCTGGCAGCACTGTTCTGGATGTATTGTAGTCTTTGAATGCTTTTGCCAGAGATCCCGATGAGGAGTGCATTACAATAGTCCAGCCTGGAGGACACAAAGGCATGGACGAGCTTCTCTGCATCTGCCAGGTTAAGTGTTGGACGGAGTTTGGCAATGTTCTTGAGATGATAAAATGATGTCTTACAGAGGTGTTTGATGTGGGTGTCAAAGGTGAGTTGAGAGTCCATTTTAACACCCAAATTGGTGACAGATGTGGAAAGTGCGATGTTTTGGCCCGAAAAAGTGATACTGCTGATGGAGGAAAAGCGGAGCTGATGTGGTGTGCCAATTAAGATTGCTTCCGTTTTGGAACTATTTAGCTGTAGGAAATTGAGCTTCATCCACGCATCTATCTCCTCCAGGCAGGTGTTCAGTGTGGATGCTGGCAAGGGAGCAGAAGAAGTGGGGGTTGTCCTGAGATACAGCTGTGTGTCATCAGCATAACAATGGAATGATATACCATGTCTGCTAATGACTTTGCCAAGAGGCAGCATGTAAATGGAGAAGAGTGTGGGGCCCAGCACAGAGCCCTGTGGGACACCGCAGGTGACATTATGAGTGTCTGATTTGGCGTTGCCCAGGGCGACATGCTCAGTTCTGCCATTCAGGTATGAGTTAAACCAGTTGTGAACATTTCCTGAGAGTCCAATGGTGTATTGCAGGCGGTGAAGAAGGATGTTATGGTCTACTGTATCAAAAGCAGCTGTTAGGTCTAGTAGGACGAGTAGAGAGGGAGAACCAGTATCAGCTGCCATCAAGAGGTCATTGGTGATCCTGACCAAGGCTGTTTCTGTGCTATGGCCAGGGCGGAAACCAGACTGAAACTTTTCAAATAAGTTATTGTGTTTAAGATGAACATGGAGTTGAGCTGCAACTGTTTTTTCCAGAACCTTTGATAGGAATGGAAGATTGGAAATTGGCCTGTAGTTGGAGAGAACTTCTGGATCCAGAGTGGGTTTTTTTAATAGAGGTCTGATGACAGCAGTCTTTAATGTTGATGGGATATGACCAACCAGGAGGGAGTGGTTTATGATCTTTGTGATAAATGGAGAAATGGCAGAGATGTTGGCCTTCAGCAGGGCTGAAGGGAAAGGGTCCAGGGCACAGGTGGATGGCTTCATTTTTTTAATGACATCCTCCACTTCTTCCTGTGTTGCATCAGAGAAAGAACAGAGGGGCTGGACAATCTCAAACGGTGGGTCGGCAGTTGGGAGGGGCAGGACAGCAGTGGCGGAGAGGTGGGAGCGGATGTTATTAACTTTTTTTTTGAAAAAAGTAATGTGCATGTTACACCTCTCTTCGGTGGTCTCAGGGTGGGAGAGTAAGGGGGGTTTAAGAAGGTGGTTTATTGTTGAAAAAAGTTGTTTGGAGTTACCAGGGCTGTTATTGATGATAGTGGAATAAAACCTGGACCGTGCGTCCCTCAGAGCTTCTGCATATACCCTCTTTTGCTCCCTGTATGCCTGTTTATGAACAGTCAGTCCAGAGACCTTTTGCCGCCGCTCAAGGACACGCCCAGCCGCCTTCATCTTTCGCAGCTCAGAGGTGTACCAGGGTGCAGAGCGCATGAATGAGACTGACCTGGACATTAAGGGGGCGTGGAGGTCCAGAAGACTGCTCAGGGACTGATTGTAGAAATCCACGGAGTCAGCTACAGAAACGAAGTCAGTAAATCCGGAGGAGAGATGTTGAAGGTCCTGGGCCAGGGCATCTGCATTGATGTTTTTCAGCTTTCTATAATGGATCTGCCGCCTTGGTTTGGTGTGGGGTGAAGGAAAGGGCAGCTCCATTGACACAACCTTGTGATCTGAAACACCGAGATCATAAACATGTAGATTGCTAATGAGGGCGGAGTTAGAGATGACCAAATCGAGTGTGTGTCCCCTGGAATGTGTGGGGACATCAACATGTTGTTGTAAATCGAGGGAGTCTAGAAGCTGAAGGAATTCAGCAGCGGGATGACATGAGGGGGCATCGACATGAATATTTATATCTCCCAGGATTATTGTATTTGCATAGGTCGTACAGAGTGTTGTAAGGAGATCAGACATTTCCGGGATGAAAGTAGAGTTGAGTTTAGGGGGCCGGTAGATAAGGAGAACAGTCATTGGAAAGGGGGGCTTACATGTAAATGCAAGACACTCGCAGGAAGATGTTGCAGGCAGTACAATGGGGGACAGCTCTAGATCCTGTCGGTGAATGACAGCTAGGCCACCACCGCGGCCAGTGCGGCGAGCTGCCTCCAAATAACTGTAGCCGGGGGGACAGGCTTCATTTAGGGCAGAGTAAACCTCTGGCTGATGCCAGGTTTCCGTCAGACACATGAAGTCAAGTCCTTTCTCCCTGATGTGTTCTTCAATCAGTGTGGATTTATTATTGATGGATTGAGTGTTGAAAAGTTCGATTTTGACCAATGACTGTGGGGTGAATCTTTGTATGGGTCGCAAAACATTAACATCTACTCCACGCAAACTGGAATCCACTCCACGAAATGTATCCAGCCGAAAATGCGAGGATCCCATACTGGAGTGCAGAGGTCTCGCGATATTTCCAGTATTGATGGTAGCTGGCGCGACGGTACTCTGATGACGCGTCATACATGTGACGGATGACCAGAGAGATGGGATGTTTGTAGCAGAGCAGCTTGGCTGTTCATGAAAGACGAATTTTCGACCGGAGCCTCTATGAATGTAACGAGGACGGCGAATAAGTCCAAGTTCTTTAATGATGGGGATGTTAAATCCAGGTGTGGTTGCGAAGTTAAGTCGTCGGAGTTGCGAGCTGGAATATCTGAACGCCATAGTGAGCTGGAAGCCGTCTGAAACAGGTAGGTGTCTAGCTACCTAGTTTCCCACTGGTATAAAAAAGTGCGCACCTTTGTTTAAAAACAAACTACTGCACAAAGCTCGTAAAAATAGCTCAAGCACAAAATATATGTAAGCACAATTAAAGATAACGGGCGGAAAAGCGGCGAACAAACAACGCCTGCGTCCTCTCCTTCTCCGTTATTCACTTGTGTGCCCTCTCCTTCTCCGTTATTCACAAGTTTGTTAATGTGTACAGTGTTTTGGTGCATTCCATTTAAATTGGATGTTGTTTTTCAGGGCTGGTGTGTGAAGTCAAGCGACCAACGTAATTTGCCCCCTGCCCGCCCTTTGACTGCACACACTTTACCTATCCAGAACGTTCCAAAGGAGCTCATTCCAGGACAGGTGGACTCCCATTATCATTTAAAACTACATTAAATGAAGCATTTTAGGGTGTGTTCACACTTGGCTGGTTTGGTTGGATTAAAACAAACTGGTGCGATTGCTCTGTTTGAATAAGTGTGAACGCTGCCATTTGAACCCTGGTGAACACCAAACAAGCGGACCGAGACCCCTGAAAAGATGGGTCTTCGTCAACTTCCACATGAACTCTGGTGCGGTTCAAATGAAATATCAAGCTCAAGCATAATTGTTTTTAGTCGCGATGTTTCCCATCACAGTTCGGTACAGGCGTCAGAAACAGCATCTCCTCACAGCAAATCTTAGTTTGTGTGTGACGGAGGGATTCCTGCCGCTGTTTTGACTCCATTACACATTTTAAAAGCTCTTCATGAGTTGTCAGCTGGTAAAAATCATCATATGTACACATTATTTTCCAAAAGAACCAAGACAACTGAACTTCAAGTGTGAACACACCCTTAGTTTATTAAGTAAATATAAACCAAACTAAAACATAATTGTGTATTCACAGGCCATGAACTACTCAAACCCCATCTACTCAAAGATGTACCATGACGGACAGCACTGTCGAAAGCCAGTCATCCACCTCGACATGAGACGCGATTTACTCCCAAAGAGACTGGACACGACGATTCGAGAAACGGCGGCGTAGCCTAGCTTTTTCTGCTTTGTTTTTATATAGATCTGTATAAAATGTATAAAACAAAGAACTTTTTATGTCCAGTCAGGTTAAATCATCTCACGTTGTATCCCACATATATGTGCCAATTTACTTTTTACAACTTTTTTTTTCAGTTTCAACCAAAATGTCTTTTTATAAATGACAAATGCAGTGTTTTTCTTTGCTTTGTGACTTTGTAAATGCACTACACAAATACGAAAAAATGAAACGAAACAGCTGCTCAATCTCAAAAGGCTTTATACACATTTAAAGAGAATTTTATATAGGTTTATTTACATACTCACTATGTATATGTTTTCCTGTTGGTGGTACGGTCACCAATGCCTAGATATTCCCAAGTTGCCTCTTACATTTAGCAGTATTAGAAAAAAGAGACACCTATTTAATAAATGCATCATATGCTCATCACAGATTTTATTTTTGATATTTCTCATTGATGTTTCTCTTTAAGTTGACCAGATGCTTCAAATATGCAGTCAAAACCGAAAGTGAAACCAACCCACAATGTTTTTGTTTTTTTGCAACTGTACTAGAACTTGAAAACATGTTATATTTCATTTGCATATTGCAAAACATATCTTTCAGCACTTACAAGGACTAAAAAAAATATTTTATGTCACTCACCTTCACTCACTGGTTGTGAAACGACATGCGTGGGACTCTTGTAATGACATGTTTGATGAAAAAACACATTCTCTGTGCAAATGTACACAACTATAGGAGGAGGAAAAAAAAGTTTTATAATTTTATAGTTGATTTGTACGTCCGGTTTGCTTGTATTTTCTGGAAACGTATTAAATGTAGACCTTTTATACAAAATGATGTATGTTATTGGTCCGTCTTCACTTTGAGCTGCAACTGAAGTGTTTTTTAATTATGAAATTAAATAGCTTGATATTGCACTCCGCAATCATACAGGTTGCTATTGTATAAAGGGAAATGAAGTAATTTAGTCATTGGAATATAATAGATACACCTAATGTGATTTTGGACCAAGAACTATGAAAAAAAAAAAAAAATTCTTAACTCAGGCTATTTGCAAACTGAACAATGGCTTATTTATTTTGCATGTAAAATTATTGATGTTATCTTCCTTGTTTGACTGGTTTGCTCCACTAGGCTATAATTTACATTTCAGGAGAAGCGGATGCATTTTCCATAGAACAGAAGGTAAGTGATGTGGAAACCCTCATAAAAGTGACTGGATTTACATTGGAAGATGTCGCTGCCAGAGCAATTTGCGAACAATCTGGAAAAAACACTAAAAAAACCTCCTGGATTTGGCACTTTTCCATTTACTGTGCTAGTAATCGGATTGGAATTCTTAATGGATCGGGAATTTTCGTGCCCATGTACCCCGGGTCTTAACGTGACACTGATCAGTTTCGTCTTTCTTGGACCTTCTCTTCTGGCTCTGGCTGTGATGATGTTCATTCGAAGGCCTTGCAGACGTAAATCGAAGAACCTAGCAGAGCTTTTTTTGTTTTGTCTGATTCCACCTTCATTGTGGGTCTTTCTGTTGTTGTTTGAGGGTAAATATGTCGCTTGTGGCATGGCACACTGGGAAGGAGATTACGTGCTGAATGAAGAACTCCAGATAAAATGGTGCAAACCCACTGGAGTGAACGCAACAGACCTGCTAGAACTGACCGAAAAACTCATTTTCTACTCAAGGGTGAGTGTACTGTACAGTTTTTAATTGTTTTATTAAACAAACCTTTACACATCAACTAAACTAATTAAAATCACTGTAGGTTTTTAGATTAATTTGCAGTTTCCGAAGGAAATACCAGCTCATACAAAAGAATGTTAATGTAACTTTTGTAATTTAATATGTCATTTAAACGTAAGAAAGAAGACTACTGTTCAGTATGCGAATGATCATGATGACCAACATTCTAACGTTCTATATCAGGGTTCCTCTAATTCGGTCCTGTAGGGCCACTTCCCCCTGCAGGGTTTACAGTAGCTCCAACCCTGATCAAACTCGCCTACCTGTGACTCTGTAGAACCTGACTAGCTTGTTCAGGTGTGTTTGACCAGGGTTGGAGCTAAACTGCAGAACAGTGGCCCTCAGGACTGGATTTGAGAAACCCTTTTCAATGTAATAGAAGACGATTTTAATTACATTTCCTAATAATTGCCAATATTATAATAGCTAAAGATTAAATGATCTATATAACAGGTTGAAAGTTGAATGTAAGTTGTATATGGTTTAAATCTATTAATTGCAAAAAACAATAACAAAAAACAAAATGGAAAAGAAGGCATGTTTGATGAATATCAGTGTTATTCCATCTTATCAATGTATGGTTGTTTGTTTGTTTGTTTGTTTGTTTTTTTAGCTTTCAGCTTTAGCTCTACTGTCAGTCCTCTGTGTTTCCGTCATGGCTGCCGTCATTTATAGAGACTGTAAGAGCAGAACTTTGGAGCAACTGAATAAACATGATAAACCAACACAACAAACATCTCCCAGCAGCTCAGAAGTGGAAGAGCAGCACCCGTCTGCCTAAATACAACATGTCAAACAACTGTTTAAGGTTGTAAACACTCATAAATGGACATAGATTTAAACTTTCGCCAAGGTACAACTTTCATTTCTGTTTAGATGTATGTCGTCTTGTTTCTTTGTAATAACAGGATGTGTGTTTTACTGCACTGTACAGAGCAAGCTTTTCTCATGCGTGCCTAGGGCTACACACGCACCGCAAGATGCTAATGCCAATACATGCCACTTTTAAAAGATAATGAAACAGTACGGATGTTAAGTTTCTATGCTCTTGATATATGTTCTTGAAATAATTAAATAGAAATGCTGAAGTTCAAATTGAGATGTCTCACTTTTGTTCAGTAATTTGTTTCATGTGGATCTAGTGGAGGCATTTTCACGTATCACAATAGCCAAAATATTATGTCACCCTGTTCAGACCTCAGAAAACGTCTTCACAATTTTTACAGCAGTTGCAAGGCCTGTTGTCCCGTAAAACCATTAGCAACTCTGTTGTTGGATGTAAAGTTTTCATAATTTTGCATACAGTGGATATAAGTTAACACATTCTTTTTAAAACAGCTGCTTTTGAGATGTTTAGACTGTCCCATTTCTTCTCTCTGTCTGTGTGAAAGATGGTTATCATTCTATAACAGGATGTGTGGTTTTTCTGCACCTTACGGACAGCGCAAGCTTTTCTGAAGTGCTGTAGCCTATTTCAACTTGTTAGAGATGCAGTCGTCATTGATTTTTATTCCATATACTTCCCTATATCCCCATAACTCCTTTTGTTAATAAATCTCTAAAACATGTTCTTCTAACATGTGGATTTCAGTTGTGTTTTTATTTTAAAATATGTCTCGTGGAAATATTGTGCATGGGGCGACATTTCTACTAAATATAATGTTGCTTCTTGTACGTTTTGTGTCAGTTTCAAAGTGAAATGTCCAGTAAGTGCCACTAAAATGTGCATTCAGTTTTCTCCAAAACAGATAAATGCGACTGTGCCAACATTTTATTACATTTGTTCACGTTACGCAGCAAATCGAAAACTGAATAGAACGTGTCCGGTGAAGCAAACGAGAGATAAAACTTTTTCTTTTTTAAAGAACCATTCCATTTTGTACCTTCAAGGCTTTGAGCTCTTCTGTGGAGTGTTGTGACTCGTGTTTCACGGGACTTGTACATGATATTGTACCCTGTTAGCTCCTGTGCTTTTCCATTCTTGAACAAATCGTTCTTTTCAAATGAATATTAAAGGATAATTCCGGTATTTAACACTTTGAGTCTATTTTCTAGTTTGTTTTGGATGAACTAGAGTGGTGGACTTAGAAATTTTGACGATGGGTCCTGTCTCGACTTTTTGACTATTTTAGAATCGTCTCTGAGCGCTTCAGAGTGGATGTCTATGGGCATGCTCAAACATGTCCTTAAAACAACCCTTAACGTTCGTTTTCAAAACTGTGCAACTCACCGAGTGGTTAGTGGTGTTCGTTGATGTTCCAAAACAAGTTGCGTAGCGAAATACAGTTTCTGTCGTGTTTTATTTGCCATTTTTTTTTAATCGTATTGATGTCTGCTGGAGGACTCAGTGCTCATTGATATTACTGCGCTACCGGAAACGGAAAGGGGTCTGTTTACATTTGGTTGTAGTCTTTTCGCTCGGTTCTCCGTCTCTCAGAAGGCTAGCGTGAGCTGAGCAACTGCGGCAAAGTGGTTGTCACCATCAAGTGGTCGGGAGTGTGCTAATGCTTCAGACTCAAATATCGAGCGGAAGTTTATACGCGGTTGTGAGGTATCTGAAAAAATAGTTCCACTATAGCAAATAACACGGATTGAAAGCATACATTGCGCCGATATATTTGTTTTTAATCATCAACGAACACCACTAACCACTCGGTGAGTTGCACAGTTTTGAAAACTAACGTTAAGGGTTGTTTTAAGGACATGTTTGAGCATGCCCATAGACATCCACTCTGAAGCGGTCAGAGGCGATTCTAAAATAGTCAAAAAGTCGAGACAGGACCCATCGTCAACATGTCTAAGTCCACCACTCTAGTTCATCCAAAACAAACTAGAAAATAGACTAAAAGTGTTAAAAACCGGAATTATCCTTTAAGTTGAGGGCAGAAGATGCACATCTGAAGTTGAATGCAAAGTTCTTGTGCAGCACTGAATGAGCATATGTCCAAATGTGTCCAGCCGAGGTGAAAGTCAGCTTCTCGGTCATGTCCGACTCAAAAACAACCAAATGAGATGGTTCTAATTGTCAAAGGATAACCTCATTCAGTTCTTTATGTTCTTTTCAAACTGTTTCTTTGGTTCAATAACCCGTCTAGAAATGCTTATTGGCTCATTCGGTGCTGCACAAGGAGTGTACTTTGAATGCGCGTCTTTCATCGTCAACTGAGGCTGTGTTTAACTCCACTTTTAGACCTACACTCGTGAGTTTCCCTAAGCACTTCCTCTCAGGTGAATCCATGGCATGATTTTGAAGTGTTTTAAACTTTGACAAGTGGGCGAGGAAAATTTATTTGGATAGAACCTTGACCCCTTGATTTTGACTGAGGGAGCGAGTCTACTTATACTGTATCTAAACTGAAGGCAGTTCAGGCGACCACAATACAACACACAGCAAAAAAGCCAGTGTATATTTGAGTCAAATTTAACACTCCTGAAGTGTATATATGACTTAGTGTTATAATATATTCCGTGAGTAATGTGCATATTTCACACTTTCAAAAGTGTTATTTTAACTTCAAAATGGAGGGAGTCATACTTTTTTTTTGTATTATTAATTTGTGTGTGTGATAAACTAATAATGATGAAATAAACATGTAGAAAAGTTTTTATTAATGAAATGTACTTAATGAAATAAACCTATTGATAACATTGAATGCACATCAAAACAATCCAGAAAGTTCAATCCAGAATTCTGTTCATTGTAAAGTTAAAGGCACACTGCGGAACTTTTGGCCACTAGTGGCGCTCGACCTGTAACTTTCACGTCTAGCGTCCCTAGAGGCCACAAGCTCCGCAGCACTGTCGCAAAAGTCAACAAACAGTCAACCGGTCCGCCCATAGACAGTGGGTCAGCTTCCCGTGTCTTTAGATTGTGTGTGCTTGCAGTGTTTGAGGCGGGCAGCCTGGCCGCGCTCGATTCCCTTATAGCAGTCTGCTGAGAGAGAGCGAGCGGCTTAGTGCTAACATGTCTGTGAGTGAATGTGGGCGCGGGACGGCGGGCCGGGCACATTTACTACACTAAAAACACCGTCGGCCTGAGCTGACTGTAACTTATGTGTGTTGGTTTCGTTTTACAGAAACCGTGGGACATGTTGTGTGTAGTGTTTGTGGGCACTGAGTCGTGGGAACGTTCACTACATTTAATGTACATTTGACATGAGTCGATTTTATTTGTTCGAGCCCTGCACTGTGGCGGGCTGTGTTTGTGTGTAGAAATGAACAATGGGCTGTGGGCATTTTATTACACTCATAACACCATCGGCTGTGGCCGGAATACCAGAAAATACTACACTGCTTATATGATTTATCTGTGTCACCTTGGAAACGGCATTTGTGTGCAGGCAAGCGTTAGCATCGGTCGGGCACCCCTCCTCCTCCTGTAGCTCACGCCAGCGAGCGAGCGCTGGACCAATGGTGATCCTCGTCCTGGCTTTTCATTTGTCACTATGCCTTTTTCTTTTTTTTTTGTGTCCTCTGACAAAACCTTTGCCTTCTTCCTTGTAGCTGTTGGTTCGGCCATGACAAAACATACAGACGGCAATCAAACACGAGTTGAGCTCTCACGTCAGAATCTGAGGAAGTAAAGCGGTCGAATTTTGTAGTTCTTTTTGTGCTCGGGTTCCTACCCGAACCCCGAAGTTACATAGTGCTAGGAAAAGCGATACAGACACCTTCAGGCTTCGGCAGACGTGTCATTCAACCTATTGTAAGTCGATGTACCATCTCAATGGGTTTTGGTAATATATTATAAAGGTTGAAAAGTTCCACAGTGTGCCTTTAAAAATAAAGGCAAAATGCAAACAGTTGTTTTAACAAACTAGTTTTTTTATTAACGAACAAGCCCCTTTACATCATAGGTTAACTAAATAAATTAAACGATGAAGGCAAAATATAGGCATTTCTGTCATCAGAATTATGTGAAAGCTGCTCATCAAATGGTCTGTATCTCTGTATTACTTCAAGTCCTGTACATGTCAGTGAATGTAAGTCCTGTGTCAGTGAAGTTGATTCAGTACCTTCGACTTTGCAACAGTACAGCAGTGCTTGAGTCAACAACATTCAGCAGATGAAAAACAGTTGCAAGATATGAGTGGATCAGTTGTGTCAGTTGCTAACAGTAAAGTTCAGTGCATAGTTGTTTCACAGAGCAGGAAAGGCTGTGCAGATGCAACTTTCTCGAAAAATCCTGGAGTCCTGGTTCCCTAGACAACACAAAACGAATCGGTTACCTAACGTAACCTCGGTTCTCTCTAGATGAGGGAACGAGTATTGCGTAAGCTAGCTTACGCTGCGGGAAAGATTCATCTTTGCTGAGAGTTTGAAGCCAAAAAATTATTTCATAATTTGTATCCATTGACAACGCAGTTCCTCTGCGGCAGACCTTGAGCAGGCTAGCTAGCAGCTCATTGGTTCGCTCAGAGAGAACTGCTTAAGCCTATGGGAGAGCGGGGCTGAACCCGCTGCTAATGAGAAGCGCCCGCGCGCTCATTGCATCATGGCCCGCCAGAATGGGCGTGGCTATGGTGTATATAACAGTCTCTCCCAGGCTTATATGTTGATTTATTTCAGCGTGAAGCGAAACGCTAGTAGCGCAAGCACGGCCGGGAACGCAATACTCGTTCCCTCATCTAGAGAGAACCGAGGTTACGTTAGGTAACCGATTCGTTCTCTTACGAGAGGTTCTCTCGTATTGCGTAAGCTAGCTTACGCTGTGGGAACACCTGGTCAACGCCGTGCGCGCTATGAATCCACTCATGAATCCCGGGGGGATACCGGGGGATT